GGAAAATTCTTTCAACGCTTTTAGTGCACATTCGAATCTCACGGACCCTTTCAAGCTCTCCCACGTCAGGAACCTGAGATCATCCTCGATGTCTCGTCTGATGGTGGGACCCTTCAGGAGGGTTCCGCGCAGAGCTAAGACGGCCCGTGGAGCACCGCTCGGCCTCAGGAGCACGAAGTCGGCTAAGGCAGCCGAGCGGTCCCACTCGAGTATTGCGCCGAATATCGAGCCGTCACGCTCGTCCGTAAGGGTCTGGACGAGCTTGTATTTGAATGGGGTCCACCATTTGGGGGCGAGGGCATGCTCGGTGTCTGTTCGGTTCTCCTGCCGGTCGAGCTCGAGGAGGTAGACAGCTTGTATGAAGCAAGCTATTACAGTCCTTTTGTAGTTTGGGTCCTTCCTGTTGGATTAAGAGATGGCCCATCCATTTATAATCTCATCAAGAACAACTACTCACCAACAAGTCACAATCCAACAAGAAATTCTGGATAAATTAGTTGAAGCAGGGAAAATCAATTATCTCCAATGCTAACAAACTAACTATGTATAAAGTATAAACCCCATACTCCCTTTTCCAGTTGAATTTGTAAAAGAATGTACTTTGCTCTCCAAATTGTATCGTTTTCGGATTTTACTGTCTTGACTAACCAAAAGAATAAAGAGAGATTTGATTCAATAGGAAAGAAACAGAGCTATCACAATGCGAATTGGTACATACTGATAAACAAAAAAAGGCTAGCTAGAAACAAGTGATTTGTACAATGAACACGAGCCCCATCCCCACAATCCAACATCATTTTAGTAAGGAGACGAGTCGATCAAGATTGTCGGGCGTATTCGGATTCGACATATTTATGCTACCTAATCAAGAGGTAATATCGAATCCTAATTGTGTGATTACGTGCAAACATATATATGTAATGTAGCTAAATCAGGCGGCAAAATCAGTTTTTTTTTTGCAGGTTTCCCTGTAAATCATATCATTTGTTGCATTTTATCCTCATGTCAACTCATCTCCTGGCACGACCAAACTCCCCAGTATTCAAAATTTGCAGTTCACGTTCAGCTAAACTGAAGAACACACACACAAACACACACACAAACACACACACACACACAAACACACACACACACACACACACGCACACAAAACAAAAAGAAAAACCAAGCTAAGAAGCTAATACATTCACACAATAAACAACAGACCACTAAAATCGACAACAAAAATAAGTGTCGAAACTGAATCTAAAACAGGGGAAGCACTGACCAGGTCGAACTGATGAGGTCCCTCCAGTTTATGGACGGAACATTGCGTGGGCCCGAAACATGAAACGCGTAAGGATGCTGGGTCTGAAGCCCAATCTCAGTTTTCGGGCTTTGATTCTCACAATTACGATTCTTGTCTTGTACTTCAATCTCCCGCAAGACCTCGTCTGTAACAATCCCCTCTGCGTTTCTTTTCTCCATTTTCCTACCTCGACATCAGAAAAACAATGGCCGCCGCCGTCTTGGTTCTTAGCTCTTCGATCGATCGTACGTTTGCGAGCACGAAAATTAAGGTAAGATTGAAGAAAGGAAAGTGTTTCAGGGGTGTTTGGTGGGGTTCAAGCTCAACCTTCCATTGTTGAGATTGTTAGGAGATTTTAAGGTGTTGAGTTAAATGCTGGTAATGATTTTCTAAATTTAAAAACGCCCCCGACTTTTTTTTTTTTGGGTATTTTTGTTCTTCATTTAGGATTGGGAAATCTAATGCAACGGTCAT